CCACGCTCGGAGGAACTTCTAAGGAGACTGCCCCTGCGTATAAGAGGGGACCCGGGTGAGCCTGGGGTGAGGTCAGGGCCTTTAGCTCCATGTCTGCTGGAGGCTGCTGGGAGCCACTGCGGGCTCTTGAGAAGAAGACTAACCTGACGAAACCAGAGTTTAGAGCTTTAGACCAACAGTTGTTTCCAGGATATTGAAATATGAAGATAACCCTCAATGTCTGACCTTAGGGATGCTAAGAACAAGGGTACGGCAGGCCAGAGCCAGAGCTTGAAGTCTTGGTTTGGGTCCCAGATACTCCGCTTACTAGCTGTGTGCACTTGGGCAAGTTACTTAATCACTCTGTTTCCTTATCTGTACAATGAGAACAGTCATAAAATCAGCCTCATGGTGTTGTAAGGAAGATTAAATTAATTAATATATATATAAAGTGCTTAGAATAGGGCCTGACACATAGCAAGTGCTATGTTAGTGTTAGATATTACTCTTGTTGTTGTTGTTTCCAAGGGTGAGGAAGGAAATCTGAGTGGAAATGCCTGTATTTATTTGAAAACACCGACTTAGATTTAGAGAGAAGCATTGGACTTACATGCTGTCAATTTTGCACCTAGCGTCTTTTTCGAAGTTTGACGTGCTATGCCTCAAAACCAAGTATTATTTTTCTCTCCATCTGCCTCTCACTTTCTCACTCAAGAGTTAATGCCTCAGTGTCTTCTCTAAGAATCGAATCTCCACCAAAACAGAAATAAACGCCCTCCTCCTTATTCATCCCAGTCTTGGGTCTGGGTTTTTCCCAACACCCTCGGCTCCCTTTCTTCTGCCTCAGTCGGTGACAGATGGTCCTGCCAAAAATAAGATGTCCTCCCTCACCCCTTGCAGTGAAGATGATGGCGTTGACCCCAGCTGGTCACACAACCCCAAACTCTAAAGCTGGGAAAACAGCTTGTTTTGAGTGGGCGCCACTGGGGAAGGAAAATAGCAGAAAGCCACATCCAGCGCCCGAGCGAAGCAAGAGGAATCTGGCCTTTCTTTCCTGGCAGAATGTGCTGACTCAAAGCCTGCCAGGAATCACGGGACAACAATACCAGGGTCCAGGCCACACAATGTTTAACAGTGTCCCTGTGCAGAGCTGAGTCAGGGGAAGGTAGAAAGTGCCACATTCAAGTCCTCTGATGAGGTGGCGGTATACTTCTGATACACCATGGCCAGTGCGTGGCCAAGACAAGGGAAAACTTTGCGGAGGCAGCAAAGACGGTACGTAGTCAAAACATCCCCTACCCTTTCTTAATGAAAGCTTAAAACTTATCATGCACACACAGCTGAGAGTCAGAATACATCCATAAGCAAAAGTCCTTAATATCCTGAGCTTTAAACACCTGCCCCTGTGCAGGCTGCATTGTAACAGCTGCATTACAGTATGAACATTTTTCTATTTCACACCTTGCCTTTTTGAGAAAGGGGGAAAAATGCATAAGAGGAAGGAATAAAAGAAAAGAAGGGGAAATCAAACGATGATGCAGAGAGGCTCTTTGTGACTAGAATAAATGCCTGAAAAAAGAAACCCCTTAAGTAACTAGAAGATACCATTTCCCTGAGCATTGCTGAATGTAGGTCATGTGACACCTTTAGAAGGTATCAGTTATACTCGGTGCATTGTGCTGGCTGGACACTATGGCAACGTTCTCTTTTGTGTCCTTCAGATAATGTGCTAAATTGCCTATTTGAAATACTGACAAAAGAACGTGTGCTCATGCAGAGGTCCCTGATTAAGAGAGGTCCCTGCTCTTCTTCACATCCTCTTCCACTGTGTCCCCAGCAACTCCATCAGTGCAAGATGACACCCAAGATCACCCCTGGCAGAGGCAGGGAACCAGAGGCTTCTGACCCCCGTCTACAGCTGAATTGCGTGGTTTCCACTGAGTTGTTTTTTTTAGTGGTTGGCTGAAATCTAGTGAATGTTTCTTTGTTCACCACATTTTTTAACAGTGATCAACACTTTAAGTTTCTTTCATATACTGCTGACTTCCTTGGGATGGTCTGTGTAGGGTGCCTTGAATCTGGAAGACCTTATCATTCCCTCGGCATAAAGGAAAGCTGCTAAGAGCTCCAGATGTATGTTTTAGGGAATAATGGCCTCCGATGGCAGTGCATAGTATTCCAGCGCGATCTGTGGTGTGATGTGATATAATAACCTCCCCATTGCTGCAAGTGCTTGAAAGGAGCCAGTCAGGTGGTGGAGAGGGGCTTTCAGGGTTGGATGGGAGGTTAATCTAAGTGAGTCCTAAGGTGTCTTCTGATCTGGAATTCTATGATTCTCTTGGGACAGCTGTATAGGAATCCTATGGGGCTGGTAGGAAGTTGCGGGTAGGGTTCAGAATTGGTCTTAAATCTGGGGGGAGGACAGTTGCAGTGGCACAGAATGACAACTGGAGAATGGGGTTTGGCCGAGTTGATGGGGCACAGGAGAGGGGTGAATGGGCAGTCACTCAGCCAGAACCTATAAGAAGGGGCTTGGGACTGGCAAGGTAATTAGAAAAAACAAAGAATGCTAAGCCCTCTTGGTTAAAGAGGTTGAGAGAAACTGAAGTTTTGCACTCATACTTGCCTCTGGCTCTTCCCTATTGCCTGAAATCTCTGCCCCTTTGAAAAATATCTCTATTGAGCAGTATCTCCAGGAGGCTCTTGTCAAAATGAGCAAATGATCCCTGCAATAGGGTATCGTATTAACTGATCCATATCTGGCAATACCTTTGCACAATAGTAAGTAATCACTTTCCCTCTCAGTGTGCCTAGGTGCTCATGAGTTCTAGCAACTTTTTTATAGATTTTCTACATAAATAATCATGTCGTCTGCATATAAAGACAATTTTAATTCATCCTTTCTAATCTGTTTGCCTTTATTTCTTTTTCTTTGCTTTATTGCACTGGCTAGAACCTCCAGTACAGTGTGAAATAAAAGTGATGAGAATAGATACCATTGTCTTTTTCCTGATCTTAGGGGGAAATCATTTAGTCTTTCATCATTAGGGATGATGTTAGCTGTAGGTTTTTTCATAGATGCCCTTTTTCAGACTGAGGAAGTTTCCTTCTATTCCTCTTTTTTTTCCATAAATTTTAATTTATTTATTCATTTGTTTTTGGCTGCTTGGCTGCTCTGGGTCTTCATTGCTGCACGTGGGCTTTCTCTAGTTGTGGCGAGTGGGGGCTACTCTTCGTTGTGGTGTGCGGGCTCCTCATTGCAGCGGCTTCTCGTTGTGGAGCACAGGCTCTAGGCACACGGGATTCAGTAGTTGCAGCATGCGGGCTCAGTTGTTGTGGCATGTCGGCTCGGTAGTTGTGTCTTTCAGTCTCTAGAGAGCAGGCTCAGTAGTTGTGGTGCACAGGCTTAGTTGCTCCGCAGCATGTGGGATCTTCCTGGACCAGGGCTCGATCCTGTGTCCCCTGCATTGGCAGGTGGATTCTTAACCACTGCACCACCAGGGAAGTCCCCTTCTATTCCTCATTTGATGAGAATTTTTATTAAGGATGGGTGTTGTATTTTATCAGATGTCTTTTCTGCCTCCACCAAGATGGTCATATAATTTTTTTCTTGCTTAAATAATTAATATGCTACATTACATTGACTAAATGATTAAACTACTTTCAGTAGTTTAAACTGCAGTTTAGAGACATCTGGCTGGGTAGTTAAACTACTTTCTGCTCAGTTTAATCCTTTTGAAGTTTGTTTTTAAGCTTTGTTATGATAGATCCACAGCAGCCTTGACTCTTGGGCTATTTTAGCCTCACTACTAAGAGAAGACTTTCCAAGGACTCGACCTAACAGCGCACCATTCTCTGAGATCTCTCTGCTTTGACTGGTGGGAATGAGAACCTTTCCCTGTGCAAGCTCTGAGAGTTGTGTAGTGAGTGGCTTTCTTTTCATTCTTTTCCCTACCTTGTAGATTTTCACCCTGCACAGACTATTACTCTGACAAAGACTTGAGGAAACACCTCTGAAGTTCTCCAGAGCTCTTTCTACATGATTACCCCCTCTCTCATATTCTGTCTCATGAATCCTAGCCACCCTTATCTCCCCAAACTCTACTTTTTGTCTCCTCACCTCAGTGAAATTGGTGGGCTTTGTTTAGGTTCCCCCTCCCTGAGCTGCTGTGTGGAAACTACTATGAGCCGAGGCAATCATATTATGCATGTTGTTTGCTTCCTTTCTCCCAGGCATCAGAATACTATGCTGCTGTAGTACAATGCTGAGATGAGTCACTGCATAGATCTTGTCTATTCCTAGCTGTGGGTGGTAGGACTGTAGTTCCTATAGTGATGCCTCCCTGTGAGCAGAGACAGAGATTTTCTCCATTATATTTTGTTCACACTATCACCATCCCTTGTAATGCTTGTCCTAAAGCAGCTTTACCTGTTTTGCTACTTTGATTAAAATTAGCATTTTGCATTGGAATGTCACAGAAAAGGGCATTGGGGCATCAAGATTTTTGCTTCTCACTTAGCATCAATTGTAACCCCTGAGGCCTTAGTTCCGACTTTTATAAAATGAGAGTAAGGATAACTGGCCAGCCTACCACTCCAATGTTGTGAGGAATATACCAGGTAATGCAGAGGACAACATCCACCCTTATGGTGCCAAACAAACCCCTGTGAGTTCTAAGTCCTTCCTGCTGGGGTGAGGAGGGCATGGGGTGGGGGAGGGCAGACTTCCAATTAGGCTTTACCTTCTTTCTGCTCTTGCTGCCACTGTCCTTCTAGGGCTTCACTCCTCTCCAACCTGTTGGCCCAGCCAAAAGTCTCTAAAAAGAATTCAGCAGAACCACCTGGAGATACTGTTCTTTCATGAATTGAGAACATGCTGCTGTCCTGAAATGGTCATGAAGTGTTATGTCTGTGGTTTCTGAAGCTACTTCACCTTCAAAACACAAAGCACAGTGTACTACAAAGTAGTTAGTGTGCCAGAACTTCCTGCACAACAGGCTAATACATCACTTTTTTCTCAGGGCCACCTGGAGCCACAGGAACTCCAGGGGCAAAGGGAGACCCTGGTGAGCTGGGCTTGACTGGAAACGAGGGCCCAGCAGGGCAGAAGGGTGACAAGGGAGACAAAGGGGACGTGTCTAATGATGTACTTCCTTCAGGTAAGGGGCTGGCGCTCAGGCTCTCTCCCAGGGTGAATGGGCCCAGAAATTGGCCTGGCTTCTAGTACCAAGGCTGCTCCGGGTCTTCTCTCGTTAGCTGCCTATGTGCCCATCTGTTTCTCAGCATGTTTTAGAGTTCTGTGCTTTCAACAAGGAGAGAACCATGCATGTAAGCCCAAAGTTGGTGAGACCAAATCTGATATCTAAGCATGAGCAGTTGAGATAATGCAGGTCTGAGTGTCATGGCTGGATGGATTTCGGATGAAGGAAGCTTCCTTTTTCCAAATAGCTATTCAATCCAGCCCAATCCAGAACAAGACAAGTAAGCGAGAAATTTCAAATACCTCAGAGTTCAACAGACAGAAAGCACGGCTTCAGAGTTGAGCTGGAGCCATCCTCAGGCCCTTATCCTAAGACTTTTGACATAGAACTGGGGGGAGACATCGTTGCTGATCTTCTTTTTCTGGTTTCCAGCCCAGGTTAAAAACAGATAATTGCTGTCTATGGGGGAGGAGGTGGAGGCACAGCAAGCCTCAGAAAGACAATTACATGGTGGAAAGAGTAGGCGACAGCTGATGGTCATGGCACAGAAAGAGGCAGAAGAATTTTAAAAGCACACCACTTTGGAGACCATTTATACCATAGAAACGTAACTATCCTATTAATGTGGTCAATAAGCATTTTTTAATATCAGAGAACACCATTTATGAATTAGGGATTTTGCTAGTAGCTGGAAATAGGAATATGAAAATGAGTTAAGACATAATATCTGTCCTCAAGAAGCTAGGATGATAGATGTTCAGAACAATGACCCTGAATCAGTTGCCCATCCAGCCATTCAAAATTTATTGAGCATCTGCTATTTGCCAGGTACTGTGCTAAGACCAAAGCACCAAGGAAAGATCAAATTAGGTTTAGCATGCTTTGTTTAACAGACAGGGAAGTTGCCATGCCAAATACGTAAAGTGTAATAAGTGTTTTGACAGGATCATATATATGTGAATATACTTTGAAAATATAAGGTCATGTTATACTCAGTTATACGGGAAATCTACACATCCAGAATACCACACTCCCCTATACTACCAGACAAGTGAGGGTGACCACAAACCATTCAGGAAAGCAACATCTCTGAGTGTACCCCAGTTCTAGAGAACAGGCCAGAGCTGAGTGTGTCCTCTTGGCCAGAGAGCAGAGAAGGAATAGGAGGGTTGGATTGTGTTTGCCCTGCCTGCAGATCTCTGCCCCTTACACAGTGGGCTTAGACCCACTGTTAGCCTCTGTGACCCCTGCTTGCCCACTCCAAAACAACTGAAAGTGCTTATTTGGTGGGGCTGGGAAGAGGCAGCTAAAGAGATCTTAGATCACCAGTCAGCCCAGGAAAGGAGGGTAGAACAAAAGGATTGAACATCCCAGCCTAGCGGCATCTTTATGAAAGTTCCATAACCAATGGCCCCTGCAAAGGGCTGTACCCACACTGGCCACCTGAAGCTGGAAGTGTGTAGGGATTCCACCTGCTGATGTGTAGAGAATCCAACTGTCCGAGCACTCACCCCGATGACTTCAGTGGATTCTCACAAGTCAGGACAGGGCGTATGAGACAATCTGGAAATGAAGAACCAGTCTCGGAGGGTTAAGCTGCCTGCCCAAGGTCACAAAGCAGGACAGGAGCCCCTGATTTCTTCTACCACATAGAGGCATGTTTCTCATACCTGACATCTTAGGAAGAAAACATCTTAGGAAGAAAAGATCTTAGGAAGTTTTTAAAAATACAGATGACCAGCTTCCCCACCATTTTGATCTAATTGATCTGGGAGGGGGCCCAGGCATTAGAATTGTGTTTGAGCTCCTGGGGTGATTCTAATAAGTAGTCAGGGTTGAGCTTTCCCAGCATCAGCCAACGAAAAATGGATGAGCTTAGGAGCAAGACACCCCTAAGGGTGAGTCCCAGCTCTATTCCACTTGTGACCTGGGGCAAAGCACTGAACTTCCCTGAGACTCGGGTCACTGAGAAACCGCTGATACTATCTTACAGAGTGGCTGAGAAGGACAAAGGGGGGGAGATTTATAAAGTTCCTAGCACAATTCCTGGCACCTGTTTGGAACTCAGCACCGGCTGTGGGTGCTCCCTCGACTCTGTGAACAGGTTCTGGAGGGCATCTGTGTCTGGGAAGGGGGACTCAGCAAGCCTTCCTGGAGATGCTGGGTCCCCTTCTCCCTTGTGTGAAGCCCATCTCTGCCAATGGCCCTTTAATCAACCCCCATCCCTGCTTCTCTCTCTCTTTCTCCAGGTGCCAAAGGTGACCAAGGCCCACCCGGCCCACCTGGGCCCCCAGGCCCTCCGGGTCCCCCAGGGCCCCCCGGAAGCAGAAGATCCAAAGGCCCTCGTCAGCCAAACGTGTTCAACGGCCAGTGCCCAGGTCACCCACCCCTGCCCCAGGGAACCACCTCTTCAGTTAATGATCCCAAACTCTCAGGCTTCACCCAGGCTTTGTGACCAGATTTCTTTTAAACAGAGGGAAATTTTTCCCAAAGCGAGTATCCCCCCCCTTGCAACACGTTCCTGGGAGGCCTGAGCAGTCTGTCTGGGGTGAGGACTGGTGGCAGGTTTAGAATTGGGCCTCCCACCCCCTGGCCTCATCCCTCTCCCTTCACTTAGCACCAGACTCTTTGCTCCTCCCTGCCAGATCCGCCATCCCTGGAGCATGAAGGGCTTGACTGATGCTGGGGAGATGGAGATGATGGGGAGATTCAGATTGGCTAACTTCCCACAACACCCCAGTACTACCATCACCACCGCTAATGTTGATGTTCCAGGCACAGGGCTAAGTGCTCAGTTCATTTAATTCTACAACAGTCCTATGATATAGGAGTCGTATTCTTACCAGGTTACAGATACAAAGCTGAAACCCCAGGGAACTACATAGCCTGTCCACGGTCACTCAGTTAGTAAGTGACAGAGCTCGGATTCAAACCCAGATGTGCCTGCTTGTAAAGCCCCTGCTTAGAGCATCTTCCTTTCGGAGACGGAAGTCCACATTTTGAGAATAAGCCAGTCAAGGCCCAGGGACACCTGATCTCTGGCAGGCCTGGATGGTTTGTTCTTCGGCCAGTTGTTACAGGGGTGGCCATGGGGTTGAAAGCTAAGGAGAAATCAAGGGCCATATTAATGGGAAATCCTCCCCACAGTGGTGACCAGGGACTAATTCACCTAACTTAGGCCGTGAGAAAGCACAACTTGATGCCTTGCTTCCTGGCAGAGAGGAGGGTCCTGACTGGAGTTTCTTTGTCACTTGCTGTGGATTTCATTGCCACTTTCTTAAACAGTCTTTCGTTCTGTCTGGTGCACTGTTCTTTCTGGAAGACATTTGGGGAGCACACACAGCAGTCAGAGTGGGTGAATCTGAGCTTTCAAAGATGTCACCACCCCCAGTAAATGGAGCCTAACTACATCCTGCCCAGCAGTTATCTGGCTGTTAAATCACCGCAGAGCTGCTCCCGCCCCGGGTCAGTGCCACCCCCTCCATTAGCATCACCCTTTGTTCAGCCTCCCTTGGACTGTGAGCTCAGTGGGAACCTTGCCCTGAGCGAGGCGAGGTCTGCCCTGCTCTCTGGGAATTCTGATTGGCCAGAGGCTCTGTCAGCCGTGAGAGGGGCGCTGTCCTCCACCTCGCCTGCCCACCACGAGGCTGGCCTGCAGAGGGTGGGCTCCAGTGTTGTGAAAACTGCTTTACAAGCGAGGCCGTTATCTTCCACTCTTCCTCCTGGAAATGAGTCCTCCTTGCGCCCGGCCTCTGAACTTGACCCTTTCTCCTGCTCCAACTCCCTTTCTTTAACCCCCGTCCCGCTCCCACAGCCTTAGAAGCTGGTGGGTGCTACATGACTTAATGAGGGCCTTTTCTTCAGACTAAGAATGGGAGGGTCTCTCTGTCCCCCTCTTGTGCAAAGCCCAAGCCCCTAAGCGGAAACTCCAGACGAAACCCAGGACGGCAGCATTGTGTGGTGGTGGTGGGAGTCTAACAGATCCCGAGACTGCTCTCTTCGGCTGACAAAGGGCTTCAGAGAGACACAGGCTCATCCAGCTAAAGGAAGATTAGAGACCACGGAGGGTCCTGCCTCCTTATTTTGCCGATAAAGAAACCTCTCTAGTATATTCTGTGAGTTTCCCTAGTGACAGTGGAGGTGCTCCTTTCTATCAAGCAACCACAGGGTGATTGGAAATCCTCAGAACTTGTCTAGGGAAGTGGGCCTGGCCTTTCTCAGAAAGCCTGACTTGCTCCGACCTGCCCCCGGGTAGGGAGTCCTTACCCCCAGGCAGTCCACTCCCTCTCGTCTTCACAATGACCATATTCCTCCCTGCCTCCTGTCCTGCTTCTGCCACCCTGAGCCACCTCTCCACCAAAGGTCTGAATTAAGCCCCTATGCCAAGGGGAACAATGACAAGCCAAGGAGGATGAATTTGAGCTCAGTTGTAGCCTCAAACCAACTATGGATCAGGTGCCCCTCAAGGACCTGGGTCCTACAGGCCTTCATGCAGGAACAGGTGGGAAATGGGGTGGGAAGGGGCTCAAATCTCTCTGTGCTGGGCCGCCTCTAGGCTCCTTCTTCCTTTGTGATTCTACTCCCTGGCAGTTCAGGAAGACAGGGTAAAGTGGGTCATCCCGTCATGAGACTGCTCCCTCATCCTCATCAGCTTCCCTGAAAGTGAAAATCCCTCCAGAAAAATGCAGACTGTGATAGATTCCCACTGGCCCAGAGGGACCAGGAACGTGTCAGGAAGCCTGTCTTTCTCCCAGGTTGCTCAGGGCTTGGATGGCTGACTCAGGTGACATTTTCCTGATTGTAGTATCTTAGCAACTATTGTCATGGAACGCTTGTTGGAAACTCCCCAGGGAGGGGAAAAAATTTGGAAGTGTGTGACTTGGTGCTTAAAAGCAAGCAAGCAAAAACCTCGGTGAGCCTATTGTAAAGGATGCTTATGGAACTAGAGTCTGGACCGAGGTTGTGTAACCAGTTATAAAGCTATATATATCTCACTGTGCCAACTAGTTTGCTCTGATTATCGTTGCTGTTGTTTTAGGTGAGACGTGTGCTGTGCCAAATGATGATACCTTGGTTGGAAAAGCTGATGAGAAAGTCAGTGAACACCATTCCCTGCAAGCAGGTACAGAAACAAAGCATCCTGTTTTAAAATTCAGAAATCAGGTGGCTAAAAGTCATAATTGGTAGGTGAGTAACTTTCCTTTCTCTTCTTTTGGTAGAATCCATGATCACGTCCATTGGAAATCCAACACAAGTTTTGAAAGTTAAAGAGACGTTTGGGACTTGGATAAGAGAGTCTGCTAACAAGAGTGATGAACGGATCTGGGTTACTGAACATTTTTCAGGTGCTTTCACTTGGCGGATGATCCATATCTGTGTCGTAATTGTACCTTTCATCCGTTGCCTCCTTTCAGGCTTATCCTATTTCTGTGTCTGAAGTCCCTGCTAATTGGTGTAACAGACTTGCTCTTCATTTTAGAAAGCCCAAATGAGTAGGCAGAATACTTTTCTCAGTTGAGCACACTGGTGACAAGCCTTGCAGTTCAGGTCACAGGGACATGACCAGGGCACCCTCAGTGTAGCTTATTCCAATTTTCAGCAAAGTGTCCAGAAGGAAACAAATAGCATTATGACTTATGGGTTTATAAACCCCCAAAACCGTAATGTGGAAGAAATGTCGGAGACAAGTTCTTCTGCATGGTCTATCTTTCTTTAAGGAGAGTACTTTTGGCCACTTTTCTAAGATATCCGTGGGCAGAGAGCCCAGGGGAGAGGGTGAAGTGTCATCTTGCAGGTCTGCTGCATCTGCGCATGACCCTAGTCACACTGCCCCAAAGGAATGTGGTCAGGAATTGCCAGTGGTAGTAGCAGTGGCCCCATGCCAGAAGAGGCCTGGCCATACCTACTAGTCAGAGCAATAGCTGAGATACGCTGCTTCATTTCATCAAGGCTCACACATCAGCTGGCAGTGACTGCCTGGATGACCAGCTGAGAAGGATTCTGTGGCTCAAAAGGAAAGAACCAGGTCATGAGTCAGCATGGCCACTGTGGAGTGCAAGAGGCAGAAGGTGACTGCACAGTGCTCTTCCCGATACAGGCCTATGTCAGCCTGATAGAAAATGTTATAAAATTGTAGGGGAGAGGGTGATGCCATTTTCCTGGGAGGATCAAAGCCAACTCTGTGGTTACTATGTTGAAAAGATGGTTCGGAAAAAGAAATAAAACTGAGTTATTTGTAGTGAGGTGGCAGGAGCTAGAGTCTGTCATACAGAGTGAAGTAAGACAGAAAGAGAAAAACGAATACCGTACGCTAACGCATATATATGGAATCTTAAAAAAAAAGGTTCTGAAGAACCTAGGGGCAGGACAGGAATAAAGACGCAGACATAGAGAATGAACTTGAGGACACGGAGAGGAGGAAGGGTAAGCTGGGATGAAGTGAGAGTGGCACTGACGTATATACAATACCAAATGTAAAATAGCTAGCTAGTGGGAAGCAGCCGCATAGCACAGGGAGATCAGCTCAGTGCTTTGTGACCACCTAGAGGGGTGGGATAGGGAGGGTGGGAGGGAGACGCAAGAGCGGGGGGGTATGGGGATATACGTATGCATATAGCTGATTCACTTCGTTATACAGCAGAAACCAACACACCACTGTAAAGCAATTATACTCCAGTAAAGATGTTAAAAAAAAAAACAAAAAAACTAAAAAAAAGATGGTTCGGGAATCCATAGAAGAGAATTGGCCTTTGAGTTTGAGAGCCTGAGACTCTTGAAAGTGGACAAGGACCCTTACAGGACATCTCACTCTCACCTTCCGTCCTTTTAACTTCCTCCCCCAACTCACTGCCAAGCTGTGATTGCCTTTCGCTGGCTTCCCTCCTGCAGGCCTCAGGGTGAAGGAATTCCAGGACCAGCCCTCACTGCTGAATGGCAGTTACACGCTCATCCACCTCCCGCACTATTTCCATGGCTGTGGGCACACCGTTCACAACAACTCTCTCTACTACCACAAAGGAGGCTCCAACACCATAGTGAGGTGAGTCCCCTGGGGCCCCTGGCACCCTCCTCTCTGCCCCACAGCCCATCCTTCAACGACTTAGTGGAAGGGACTGTGGTTCCATCATCTTTATGTCCCCAGGGGTGACACACAGCCAGAGATCAGTGAGGGTTTGCTGACCAAATGAACCACAGGACACGATGAGTGAGCCCCATATCTGCATTTATTGCTGGTCTGGACACCAAGAGTAAGGTCAGACCAGAGAGAAGGAGGCCTGGAGTGATAACAGCAGGAGCTTTCTCATCCTTTGGGAAAGGAAGCAGCGGAACCCAGAGCTCCCTCTAGCAGGAAGGTATCATACCCTGAAATCAGTTTTGCTCTGAAAAATGTTGGGTATGAAGAATTTCATGTCACGGCTGAGATCACCGAGGACTAGAGACTGCAAGGCAAAGTCAGGGTTCCCGCCTTCAGATCGCTCTGTCATCCTGACGGAGCCCTCGCCAGGCCACCTCCCCTGCTCCCTCCGCTTTCCCACGGGGAGGGGAGGTGGCCACACAGGTAGTCAGTGCCCAGGGCAGCAGCCCAAGCTTCCTGGCTTCACACAAGAATTGCTGAAAGTTGTCTGCATGGCTCCGGAAGAAATTGAGTTCTGGGCTTTAGAGGCAGAAGCGGGTCATCTTGGGCGAATCAAGAGAGCAGTGAACTCAAGTTCCAACTCTCCTGCCTACTTACTCGTGGCCTCAGAGGAGAGACTCCGCCTCCTATGACCTCCATGTCCTCATTAAAAATGCAAAGGCTGACCAGAGCCTCTGCAGCCCTCCACTGTACCCGCCCTCTGAAATGACAGTTCCAGTGTTACGAAAGCCATGGTCCTCGTCGTTCCAAACAAGAGACAAGGATCTTGAGGGAGGACTGGGTCCCTTCTCTCTCTCCCTCTGTGAGATCCAGCTTCAGCAACCTTGTTGGTGCTGCAGAGCTAGGCTAGGATCGGGGCAGGTCTCCTAGTACATCGTGCAGTTAAGCCAGCCACATTAGACACACGTGTCAGCCGTGGCTGCAAGCATCCCCTCCTGTGCCTCTTACCCACCCTCTACTGGGGTTCTGCACCACCTCGTCATCTGGACAGCATCTTGTGCTAACAGAACAAGATAGCTGACCCTCCTCCCGTTGAGAGGCCCTCTCTCCCCAGACACACTCCTTTCTGTGACACTTGTTTTCGTTCAATCCTGTGGCTCCCGGGGACCGCTGTTACATGGGGTGGTAGGAGGGGAGCTCTGGGGTAAATGAGCCCAAAGGAGGACTGGCCACCCTAAGAAAGAGGG